CTCCAACTGCCTACCCCGCCTCCAACTCCGAGCTCAGGGTTTTCCTAGCTTCCCCCTCCACCACCCGATCGCCTCCTGAGGAGGGGGCTGGGCCGGGGCTTCTGCTGACCGAAGAGGAAGAAGGGGAGCAAAGAAAAACATGAGTCACAGCCGCCGTGTGTCACTGGACCGCATTGCAATTCCCTGCATCACGGAAGGTGTGGAAGACTGCCTTAGGGCCCAGGGACTGGGAGGTGCGCCCAAGAAGGCCTCGGGCCCCGGCCTGCAGGGCGCGCTGCTCCGACAGCGCCCTTTCTTCCTCTACCGCCCTCCCCGCCATCTTTCCACTTTGGCTTCCTTCTCGTTTGTGCAACAAGTTTTTGTTGAGTCAGGCGCCGGGCGGCCCAGGCGTGGCGGGTGCGGCGTGCGTAAAACTGCCCCTGCCTTCAAAGAGCTTCCAGGCGACCCCTTGTCGATGATTTATTTTTAAAAAGAATCACAGTTGAGGGCTAGGGCACAAACTGGTACCGCATGAGCCCAAACCACCATCCACGTCACCTAAAGGTATGGTTCCTCGGATTGACTCGCGAACAAGTCAATCGTTTGTTTCGCTTGAAGGCTACACCTTGACTACAGTCCCAGTGGCCATTAATAAGTTAAAACTCTTTTCTAGTTCACAAGTTTCACAACACTTGTATTTCACCAGCCAGCAACACACAGGTTGACAATGAAATGCACATGCCGACACCTGTCTGTCCAGGGGAGATGTATGAGCTGCTTTTTGGGCGAAGGGGGCGGTGGGTAGGCCGCGGATTTCTCTTAACAGGCTTGCTACTCTCCACTCCCTCACGCCGCGTGGACACCGCAAGCACAAACGCCCACCCACACGCCTAGGGGCCAAGACCCACAATGCCTGGAAGGCCCCCTAAAGGTGACTATCCTGGGGACCCCAATTCGGGCAGAAAGGCCACTCTTCCCATCGCACAAAGCTCCTTCTCGATTTCCCTGTGCTCCTTGCCAGCCCTCCCTGGCTGGTACTGTGACAAGTGGGCCCTGGCCTCGGGTCGCCAGTCCAGACTTCCCGCGCACTCGCCCCCCGACGTCAGGGACTACAGGCCCCTAGCGGCAGTCAGCACCCACCCGCGCGGCCGCGGCTGGCGGGCGGCCGCCCTTTTAAATCCCCGGGCTCATTTACATGGCCCCGCCCCCTTAGTGACACGGCTGGCGCGGGCGGGCCCGTCCCCCCTGCCCCTGGGTCGCTCTTTTTAAGCTCCCCTGAGCCGGGGCTGCGCTCCTCTAATTGGGACTCGAAGCTGGGGCTATTTCTGGCTCTGGCGCGGCTCCAAGAAGGCGTGAGTTCGCGGCCGCTCGGGTGGCTTCCTTTTTTTTTATTTCTAGAATTTAATTAAATTATTTATTTTTTGAGGCCGTGCACGGGCCGTGCCCAGCTTCCTGCCCCTCGCCATCCTTCGGGGAGGGGGAATATTCTCCCCCCCTTAGATGTGACATATAAATACCCCGCGGGGGCCTGGGCGGCGAGCACGCGGCGGCGGCAGACTCTGAGCGCCTCTGCTCTCTCCTGGTTTCAGATCCGCATTTGCTACCGGCGGTGGCGGAGCCAGGCCGGTCCTCAGCGCCCAGCACCGTCGCTCCCGGCAGCACCGAGCGCGCACCGCAGGCCGGCGGCCGAGCTCGCGGTGAGTCGTC